CAAAGTTTAAAGGGGCCAATATAATTTCTAAGAGTCCATATGTATAGCTAAAGGCTACATAACAAGCAACAATGCCAGATGGGTGATACCTTCTTTTTAGTTTTTGGACTGGGTGGCCCAAGGGACTCCCAGATAGTAACCCAGCATAGAACTGGGAAAACGAACAGCAGACCCCAATCTTATCTAAAGGAATATTTACAATGGATTTCTGCTAGATAAGGAACAGCTGACCTTCCTAAAATAAAGAGCTCTAGATAGGCTGACTAGATTCACCAGATGGACAAGTAGTGGGGAAAGGCTGGGGGTGCCAACAACACAGCAGACAATAGCAGGGATAACAGAGTATAAGGGCTCTAGTCAGGGGAGGAAGGCTATCGGGGAGTGCCATCTGGGAAGTGGGTGTGTAGTTGAACAAGATGGTTTGGGATGTTCTATGTGATATACACACACCAAAAAAAAATCAACAAATAAAAAATGTATTATATTTGAGGAGGAAGCATGGAAATTTATGTTGTGTTAATTAGTAGAGGTGATAAACATTACCACTGAAATCCACCTGATGACTTTATGGACATACACAGGCGCCAAGTATCCGAGTGCAAACGATTATGACTAGTAATAATTAGTGTACAGATTAGAGACGCATGCTCCAACATCTCAGTGTTAGTAGCAAAAACAATGAGTCTTTCTGTAAGAAACAGTATATTTTAGAATGAAATGGAGATCTCTTTTGAAGTAAAGTCATTCAATTTTATGTCTAACAGGGCTTATACTGAGTTCAATATTGTATAACTATTTTAATTCAACTGTGAACCTAAAAATTTACAGCCACTTTTGAAAGAGATGTATCCTTGCTCTGGAGTGTGTTACTGAATATGTTAAAGCTGTAATGAAATGCTTCTTCTAATCATGTGGTTATTAAACTTTTTATAAAAAATTTAAAAAATAATTCTTCAAAGCATAAAAATTTCCTACTTAATAATTAGTAGATGTGAAAAACATTACCATTGAAATCTACCTGATGACTTTATATCCATGCTCAGATGCCAAGGAGCTCAGAAAGTAACTGACTGTGACTAGTAATAATCAGATATATAGAGATTAGAAATGCATGTACAAACATCTGAGTGTCAATTGCATTAAAAATGAATTTTTCTGTATGAAACAGTGTATTTTAATAATGAAATGGAGATCTTTTTTAAAGGTTAAAACCTCATATTGTTGTGCCCAGTTCGCGAGACCCCAAAGATCACCAAGGAGCCGATCGATGCAAACACACAAGGGTTCTTTTATTGTTGCAAGCTTAAGTTTGGGTCCACTCTATCACCGACTCAGTGGATCTCAGATGTGAGACACCTTGCTTTGGGAGACAGAGGTTTTTATAGGTTTATTTCAGCAAGTTCAGCAAGTAGGGGAGTAGGGGGTCTTCGGCCTGGCAAGCCTCTGATTGGTTGCAGCTCAGTGCCAAACCATAAACTGCTGACTTCAGGAAATCTGAAAATATATCTGGACTTTTAGTACCTTCCTGTCCCTGGTTAATTGACCATTGGCGGGGGAGTTGTTCTCTATCTGTTCCAAATATTGTGGTTTTTCTTGGAACAGGGCCCAGGGCTGGGTCAGTCCTATGGAGGTTTTATCCAAGATGGAGTCACTCAGGTCTCTCATTCCCCCTCTGACTAGTACATTGGGGGCCCAATCATGGGCGCTCCCTCACCTCATGTTCTTCATCACCCAGATTCTGGAGGGACTGACAGTGGGTTTGCATTACCATTAGCTGTATAGCTCCCAGCTGCTCTTTTATAAAAGCTACCAACTTATTTAAAATGCGAGGCCCAAAAGTCAAGAGCATAATCAAATGAGGAGGGGTCTGAGTAAGGCTGAAATCAAAGTGGTCAACCAAGGGGAACTATTGAACCAGGATTCAAACCATCCTTATTTAGCCCTATATTCATTCTCTCTTCGAGCCAGACTTTTTCTAACCTTGGCCAGGGATTCTTTTATGTAGAGTGATCTACAGAAAAACAACACTTTCTTAAGGGCAGCACAGAGGCCTCCCTGCTGCAAGAACAACAGGTCTAGGCCTCTCCTATTCTGCAGAACCATTTCTGCCAAGGAGGTTAGGGATTCTTATAGATGGGAAATAGACTTTTCGAAGTTCTGGATGTCCAGGTCTATTGCAGCTCCAAGGGTACGGTAGTTTTGGCTTTGTAAGATCAAGCCTGAAATTCTTGTACCTGCTCCTGCCAGTCCCAATCCCAGAAGAACAGATAGGGTGATGGCAGTAACAACTTCTCTTTCCTGGCGATTACGGTAAAGGGGTCCTTGCCTGGTCAGGGCCCTATTTATATCCTGGTCTGAGTGATAAATAATTCTAGGGATTAGTTGTACTAGAACACAAAAATCCGATGATTGATTAAGAACTTTAGAATGGACACGTGAGGTTAATCCCGAAGTACATGCCCATCATCCTTGATCTGGTGGTAGCAAGTACGAGTTATTGGCCAGCACTGGTAGAGTCTGGTTGCATAGGGCAGTGTACTCATGAGAGGGCTTGCCTATACATAGCCCTCATCCTGAAACATCTTGTAGCGTAAGCCTGATTCCTTCCTCCTGAGCCCATCTACAGCTGCCTTAGTCCAGCACTAGGGTGGAGTTTCCTACCCTCATAGTATGGGGGCCTTGATGAATAACATAATGAGCATGATGAAGTGAGGTCTGGCATGGTATCATTGAGCATCTGGTAAGTCTGTACCATTAATGACCAAAGCGGGTCAGTGTCGCCTATAGGAAGGCCATGGCTGTCAGAATAGCCATTATTTGAGGGGGCCGTTGTGGTTGACAAGATTGATTCTGGGGTGACCTTTAAAACAGCACCTGGTCCCAAGGGGACCCAATGGGTCTGGTACTGAGAAACTCTTACTCTTAATCGAATAGAGAATTAAGTTCCTAGATCTGGTTCGGTCCAGCCCACATAGAGTCTTATTCCCCCAAATTTTCCCGCTTCCCAGCCGGTGGCTCTCTTTCTTTCTTCAGTAAAACTAATATTGAGCCTACCATTTTTATGAGGATTAGTGGTGTCGGTTGCTCCCACATTACCTTAATAAGATCTCCTCCCTGAGGGGTCCACCATATGTGTCCCGTTGTTTCACAGCCCCATCGAGCTCAATAAGTAGCGCTATCCTCTCCACACCTGCTTCTCTGGGACTTGTATTTTGGAGTTCCAGGCCCTGGGCAAACATAGGACTGGCCTGGTTTTCTGTATGGGCCTGGAAAGTTAGTTAGAGCATGAGGATGTGCGCCTCCTTTAGGATTGAAATCAAAGAAAGCATCTAAACGGGAGTGCAGAGTTGGGAACCAAGTAGCCAAGGCACTACTTAGGAGATCTGAAACAACATATTACCTCCTATCACATCTTGGAGGACCCAAGTCAGAGGACCCAAGGCCATTGGGGCTGGAGAGATGGCTCAGTGGTTAAGAATACTGATTGTTCTGGCAGAAAACCCAGGTTCGAATCCCAGCACTCACATGGCCGCTAACAACTGTCCATAACTCCAGTTCCAGGGGATCCAACAGCCTCTTCTGACCTCCGGGGGCATTACACAACATGGGTGCACTCACCTACATATAGGCAATACACGCATACAGATAAAATAAAAAAATGTTTTTTAAGTTTTAAAAAAAATGCAAGGCCCATGGGCTGGAGAGATGGCTCAGTGGTTAAGAACACTTGCTGCTCTTGCAAATGACCCAGGTTCAGTTCCCAGCACCTACTTGGTGACTAACAACTGTCCATAACTCCAGTTCCAGGGGATCTGACACCCTCTTCTGAAATCTGTGGGCACTGCGCCACACAGGTGCATTTATATGCCTGCAGACAATACACTCATACACATAAAATAAAATAAAAATAATAAACAAAATGTTAAAAAAATTAAAATAAAAGGTCTTTCAGCTAGCTAACAATACAGGAAACTAAAACTTCAGAATGCCAAACATCACTTCACATGGGGCTGGGTTACCATAGGGTGACATGTCACTTACAGCATACATTTTGTCTGTGATGAAGGAGCGGTCCCTGAGGCTTTCTAGGAAAGGACACAGCTTAGTGATTGCATTTGCTATCTCGACTTTCTTTTCCTTGAAGTGACTGAGAAGTGTCTCATTAAAAACCTTCTCTTTCTGGACCATTGCAAACATCCTAAGAGGGGGAAAAAAAAAACAGTGAAAAAATAAAAAATAAACCAGGATTTTAGCACATTTTCCCCTCTTCCTCCCCAAATCCAGGCACAGATGACTTCACATGTAAAAATTTCAAAACATACATCTAAGGAGGTATATTACCAAAGTGACATAACTCTTCCAGTGAACAAAGAAAAGGGACACTTCCCAGTGTGCTGTCTGACAGAAAAGTCCTCATACTCAAATCCAAAAGACATTACATCAATGAAAAGTAACAGGTTAGCATCTCATGGGTAGAGATGAGAAAACGCCAATTAAACAGCAAATAGAATCTAGGAACATATACAAAGTATAATACATCATGACTAAGTGGGACCTATTCTAGGAATACAAGAATTACTTAACATTTAACAATCACATTGACAGAAATAAAGGAGAAAAACACATTAATTTCAAAAGATTCAGAAAAAATAGTTGATAAAACTCAACATTTGTTCATCAGTTCTGTGTGTGTGTGTTCATCAGTTTTTAAAACTCTCAGAAACCAGTGGAGCATGGTGGCGCACTCCTTTAATCCCAGCACTTGGAGGCAGAGGCAGGCAGATCTTTGTGAGTTCAAGGCCAGCCTGGTCTACATAGAGAGCTCCAGTCCAGCTGGGGCTAGCTACAGGGAGACCCTGTCTCAAAAAGACCAAAAACCAAAACAAAACAAAAAAAGAAAAAGAAAAAAAAAAAACCTCTCAGAAACCTAAGAATTAGGAAGTAAATTGATTAATCTAATAAAATCTAATAAGAAAATATAGATGCCAACAAACAAACCCTGTGGCTAACATTATACTTAAAGATGAAATATTAAATATTTTTCACTTGCTGGGCTTGGTGGTGCATGCCTTTAATCCCTGTACTCAGGAGGCAGAGGCAGGTGGATCTCTGTGAGTTCAAGGCCAGCCTGGTCTACATAGCAAATTCCAGGCCAGCTGGGGCTATAGGGAGATACTGTCTCAAAAAAAAATAAATAAATAAAAGACCAAAAAAAATAATATTTATCACTCAACTTGAGGTGAAGACAAGGATGCCTACTGTCACCATACTCATTTGACATTTCTTAACCCTAGCCCATGCAATCCATGAAGAAAAGAGACTTAAAACAATGAACCTTTTTTTTTGGTCTTTTAGAGACAGGCAAAACAATAAACCTTAAATGTAACCACCATTATTTGCAGGTGACTAAATAATTATAAAACCTAAAATAATTTATCAACAAATTATTAGAACTAATTAGTAACTCTAGCAAAATATCTGGGTTCAAGGTCAATATACTAAAAGCGATCATATTTCTAGATATTAACAAATCATAAATTGAAATAAAAATAGAAAAAGGATCTCCAGACGTATCAAAAGTCATCAATAATAAAGATAAATCTATCAAAAGATATATCTATATATATAACAAATGAGTATCCAACAGTTGCTAAACAGAAAAAACTGAAGCATTTCCACCAAGATTAGAAACAAGACAAGGTGTCCACCATCTCTACTGCTGTTCAAAGTGGTGCTTGAAGTCGTGGCTGGAGCACCACAACAAGAGGAGGAAATAAAGGGGAGAGAAACAGGAAAGGAAGAAGTCAAAGTTTCCATGTTTGCAGGTTATATGACTCTATGCATAAGCGATCCAAAAGATGCCACCAAAAAAACACTCAGAGCTGATAAACTTTCAGCAAAGTATCCAGATGTAAAAGTAACATACAAAAATCAGTACCCCTCATTCACAAACACATTGAGAAAGTAACCAGAGAAACAATCTCATTCACAATGGCTCTAAAGAAACATCTTGGGATAAACGTAAGCAAGGAGGTGAACAATCTCCACCATGAAAACTTTAAAACACTAGGAAGGAGATTGAGGGAGATATCAGAAGATGGAAAGTCTACCATGCCAATGGATTGGAAGGACCAATAACACTGTGAAAATGGCCATCCTAGCAAAAGAAATCTACAGACTCAATGCAATCTTCATCAAAATTCCAGAGCCATTTTAATAGAAATAGAAAAAAATCTTAAAATTCATAAAGAAGAACAAAATAATAATACTAGTGGTATCACCATATTTGATTATAAGTTACATTACAGAACCATAGTAATAAAAACAGCATGGTACTGGCACAAAACAGACATATAGATCAATGGACTAGAATACAGAATCCAGAGATAAGCCCACACGGCTACAGCCACCTGGCCTTTGACAAAGATGTCAAAAATACATATTGAGGGGTATGTTCTTTTCCCTGTAATATAACTAGATGGAAGACTACTGTAACAGTAAGGAAGCACCCAGCCTTGGAGCTGAGTGGTGGGGTAACACCTAAAGATACTGCAAGTGGGGATTACTGGCATTGTGGCGGGGAGTTCTGTCAAAACATTCACCTGTGTGATTAAAGAGTTCTGGGCGGAGGGTGGAGGAGGTCAGGAAGGCTTTTTATTGGACAGGTCAATGGAATCAGAATCAAGATGATCTGAATCCCAACCTGTATAAAGTGATTCTGCCGCCCACTCTGCCATCACTCCACAAAGGACTGAAAGTGAATTCTTCTAAATGATGAAAACATTACAGTGTAAATTGAAAGATCAGTTGGAGACAAGGGAATAGGGATAGGGACATGAAATAGACCTACGTGCAGGAGACCTAGGGAGAAGTATGAGGCAGTGACTGGGAGGCAGCCCAGCCCAAAGCCAGGGCAGGGAGAGGGCAGGGCCTGAGGCCAGCAGGGGGTGGGAGCAGGTGAGGAGTCAAGGCCAGGGGCATCCAGTGCTCTATAGCAGTACTTTCCAAATTATTATTTGTTGTTACCATTATTTATTTTTATAAAGGATCTCACTATATAGTCCTGGTTGACCTGGAACTCCCTTCGCAGACCAGGCTGACCATCAACTCAGAGTTCTACCTGCCTCTGCCTCCCCAGTGCTGGGATCAAAGGCATGCACCACCACACCTGACTAGTACTTTCCAAATTATGTTCCACTGACTCTAAATACTTTAAACTGTTAAGGAGGCTCCATGCCCCAAGAGTGAAAACTGAAAGCGGAGGAAGTTTCTGTCCTTCTTCCTCTCCCCAACTGTGGCTTGCTTTTCCCACCACACAACTGCAGGACACTGATAAGGTTATCTGTACCAATGGGCAGGCTCACTGTGCCTACCAGGTTCCTCATATCTCTCTCTCTCTCTCTCTCTCTCTCTCTCTCTCTCTGCACCTCTCCCTCCTCTCTCTCTGCACCCCTCCCTCCTCTTGCTCTCTCTTTGCCTCTCCCTCCTCTCGTTCTCTCTCTCTGCCTCTCCCTCCTCTCTCTCTCTCTCTCTCTCTCTCTCCTTCCTTCTATTGTTTTGTGTGTCACAAAGTTCAAGTCGAGGCAAGATGTGCCCCCATCATGCAAACCCACCTCTCTTGCCCTCCCTCCCCTTTCTTTGCTCCTGATCATCACTGGGCAAGCTCAGCACCACCACGCCCACCACAGAGCACCCTCACTTTCCGCTACTTCTTCCTTTCTGTTTCCTCTCTCTTTTTTCCTTTCTCCCCTCCAGTGGCCAAGCCAGCTCCCACCCAGCCCTTAGTGCAGGCCACCTCTGAATGAAACTGAGGCCTAAACAGTGTCTCAACAGTGTCCTGCAGTTGTGTGGAGGGAAAAGCAAGCTCCCTCCACTTTCATTTTTCACTCTTGGGGCATGGAGCCTCCTTAACAGACCCAACAATGTCTCTGACTCTCTCAGCCAGAACAAAGTACTTCCATGTTCCTCAGATTGTTGGTAGAACTAGAAAGCACCACCTGCTCCAGGGCAGGGCATGGAAAGTCCTGTGCTACTGTCTTGCACACAAGCTGGCTACTAATTTATCCTGGAACTGAGTTTTCACCTCCCAGAGTCCTGTGGGTTTTTTTCTTAATCATTCTAATTCACTCAGGAACTTTGAGAGGGGCTGCCTGTGACTAGATGGACTTGGGCCCTCCTGGGCCTCCTTTCTAACACAACAGTGCACAAGCTCACTGCACTCCTGGCTCCTATGAGCAGCTCCCTCTCCTGTGCGCTGTTTTCTCCCACACATGAGAGCCTGGTTTAGGTAGACATTGACAGAAGCCTGGGCACAAAGCCAGGCTTTCTTACTCTCTGGCAGATCTGAGTCAAGGGATAGTCAAAACACATCCCTTATGGAAGGGTCTAGTCCCCTGAGTGAGAAGTTGATATACAGAAGATGTACCTTCCAGGAAGAGAGTTCTCTGGTAGCAAAGGCCCTGTGAGTCCCTGGTTGGAAGTTAAGCCATGTCCTCTCTCTTTGAACTGAGTTCCATTCACATAGGCCTTTTAATTGCCTTTGCACTTAGGATTATTTTTACTCTACCCAGACTTGCTCAAGACTGACTGATGTAGCCCTACAGAGTAAGGGTCACTGTTCCTGGAAATCTGTTCCATGGCAATTCACCATATCGTTGGGTCTAAAAAAAGTCACTCCTTGCCATTTACTACCATGGTCAAGCCTCTTCATTTATTTAGGCCCAGATCTAGCCTCCCAGCATCTCACGTTGCAAGGCCAGCTGCAGGTCAGATGGCACCCGCAGGCTTCTGGGAAGGAGGCCAGCTCCCAGTCTGGATGGGGACCATCTCATGACAAACTGCAGAGGTCGGTTCTACAAGTTTCTCAAGCACTGAAAACAGAAGGAATTTTCCATCCTGGCTTAGTTTTGCCTCTTGATTTTATCTCTCACCTGAGCTCCTCATGAGCCTGCCCACCCCTCTTACAACCACAGTGCCAAAGCACAAAAGCCCAGAGCTCTGACGAGAGAGAGAGAGAGAGAGAGAGAGAGAGAGAGAGAGAGAGAGAGAGAGAGAGAGAGAGAAGCTTAAAAAGAGGCCAGGGCTGCTTAATGTGCATGCTGTGTTTTGGGATCCCACACAGGAGGATCTAATTCATTGAGTCTGAGGCTGTAGGGTCAAATGGTGCCTCCTGCCACTCACACCTCACTTAGGCTCAGC